CCGTACTCCTTCTCATTACATAATTTAATTTCTGACACTAGCATATGATTACTTTATTTAAAAAAAATAAATTGCTACCTTATGTTCCGTCTTCTGACGTCTATAGATATATTATTGTCTTCTCTTTCCTCATTTTCTTCCTATTTATATAAATATTTTGTTCTTATTATATTTTATTTATAAATAAACATAAGATGAAATATCAGGCTTGGCAATCCACGTAGAATGGGAATTCGTCCAAGTGAATTGGGAAGTTTAAAAAAAAAAAAAAATTAAATCACTAAAACATTGGAGTACACCAAATGGCTCTATTTGCAGAGAGGAGGTCACCATAAACAGGCTGAGAATAGGACATACTCGTACAAACCTGACTCATTCATATCTCATCGGCAAAAAGCCACCCAGCAAAATGCCAACTCTAATAGTAAACTCACAATCAGACATATTTTCTATGATTTCTTCTAAATTCTAAAACATGATGAAACTAATACTTTTTTTAAATTTATTTATTTATTTATATGATATTTACCACTGTATACAAAAAATACATTTGGTAAATTCGCACATTGATATAAAGACATGAAACACATGTTGAGAAATTACCCATTGGTAGCACTCTAATAATAAATTATTATAATAATAATAATAAGCTAGGCTGTTCACATATAATCATGCAGACACCACATATACACACACAAACACCATTTTGCGAGACTTGATTATTTGGATTTTGGAAATCTTTTTTTTTTTTTAATATTTATAACTGTATTATAAAAAAAAAAAACATACATCTAGTAAATGTGCACTCAGGAATATAATAACATGAAATCGCTTGTTGAGAAACTACCCACCGGTTGCACTGAAATAATAAATTTACACAAGAAGATCACGAGGCCACTTTCTTTTCAGACGCCTCGGAGGGTTATCAGGGATCGAGGAGGAAGCAAGATATGAAACGAGAGGGTTCGGATGGCACTGAAGTTTGTTATGAAAGGACAGATATCTGGATTGGGCCAAATCTGATACATAAGGAACATTAAGGTCATTATGGATGATTTTATTTGTAACAAAGTAAGGAGCATTGAGGATTTTACGAAGGATTTTGGATTGTAATGATTGGATGCGAGAGGAATTTGAAGGTTTGGTGGAGCCCCATAGTTCAGAAACTAATATAAAACCAATATTTAGTTTTCTGAAGGAACATAATATATTAAACAGAATATAGTTTATTTTTATTTAATATTTTTTAGATTATCCGTTCCTGAGATTAAAAATAATAATAATAAAAGGCGTTAAAGCCCAAATACACAATCTTTATTGAATTTTTTCTTTAATCTGAATTAACTATGTCATATACTTTATCAAACTCTCCAGTTTCAATGTATGTATGTATGTACGCATATGTAAGGAGGATACGCATGTTACTTATCTTACATTGCATTGCGTCAGCCCTTTCGTCTTAGGCGCCGCCAACAGTGAGGGGGGGAGGTACTCTCTACCTCCTCCTCCCACTAATATTTTATGATGGGGATACTGACCCCTCCAATATTTTACATTCATCTACTTAAAAATGACTCACCAAAAAGCCGTAAAGGTAATATTTATATTAATGGGAATAAGCTGTTGAATGAGCTCATTCGGTTGTGTTCTTTGACTATGTGTGTAAGTGGGTTCACTGCTATAAGCGAATGAAAATTTAAATTATATGTCCCCGTGATCTCCTAATGTTGACATATCATTAGAATGCTACCATTGGGGTCCCATAGTTTCTCAAAGTGTTTTCACGTCATTATATCCATATGTTCAAATTTACTAAACGTATTTCTTTAATACAGTTGTAAATATCATTAAGAAAAAAAAATTATAGGTAAAACCAGATTATCAGATGCCTGAAGAGGCCGAAATTCGAAATAAAGTAATTATTTATCGAGACTGAAAAGGCCTTTTTCTACTAACAAATTATTAACGTTCGACTGAAGCTTCGTTCATCTTATCGTAATCTACAACCTTTTAATTTGCTGAAATTCTCAGAAAAGGAGCATTTACTCATTGAATGAATTAATTTTTTGAGGTACTAAAAACTCATGAACACCCACTCACTTTCCAACTGAATCGTAAGATAATTTGATCACAAAATCGAGAAAAAAATGGATTATTAAATTATTAGTTTAAAAACATATATATTATATATAATATATATATATATATATATATATATTTTTTTTTGCCTTTGCCTTGCCCGCATTTTTACGTTGTTATGCACCAATCAATTTATTATTTATGAAAAATAAGAAAAAAGTATTGCCTATAGTATTAAGTTTAAGTTACGAAAAATATTGCCTATAGTATTAAGTTTAAGTTATATATTTTATTTTATTGTTATTATTTCTTAATGATATTTACAACTGTATAAAAAGGAATACATTTAGTAAATTTGAACATATGGATATAACGACGTGAAAACACTTGTTGACTAACTACCCAATGGTAGCACTCTAAGTTATATAATTTAATCTATAATTATAAATTACAAAAATCAAAAGACTCTTCCAGTAAAATAGACCGATTAAATTTTTATTATAAAAAAGCCAGTCACATTCGAGTTTAGTGTCATTCGGAACTCTTCAATGCGATTTTTTATAAAAATAAAATATATGAATTTGATTTTTTAGTTTTTTCTGCTCGATACCGAAAACGCTCATAAGTTCTCAGGATTTTCTCCAAATTCAATGTCACTATATCCGTTGGAAAGCTGTAATTGTAAAATTATTGTAAAACAAACTATATAAACAAATAAATGTATATATGAACCTTTCAGTTGACAAAATGACTAAATCCAATTTCAACATTTTTAATTTTAGTGATATTTCTATTGGGGTAATTTATACCTTTATTGACAGTTCTGTATTTCAACACTGCAATCACCAGTTGTGGAATCAACTTACTCACTGTCTGTACAGATATTATAAATTTTCCAAGTAGAAATATCACTAAAATGACTTTACTGAAAGTGTTGAAACTGGATTTAGTCATTCTGCCAACTGAAAGGCTCATGCATGTTCATATATCATTTTTGTTTTTGTTTTTGCGTATGGGTGTATTTGAAAATGTGTCAACAAAGCAATTTAACATATCATATAATTTTAGTTTTATTTAAAAGTTTGAGGCAGTGAGATGAATTCTCGTTTCTCCTCGTTGTTTCAAATTTGTGGTGCACGTGAATACATCGAAAAAAAAAACTAGGATATGTTGCTAAATAAATTATCTTTGATTATCCTCTCTTTCTCTTCATCATTTCCTCTTCTGGCGCTGAGTAGTGTGAGGAGTCTTCTTGTAGAGACGAACCCATAACTTCCGATCCTATCCAAACTTTTTTTTTTTAATTTTTTTTTTTTTTTTTTTTTTTTTTTTTTTTATTCATTGATATTTACAACTGTATTATATAAAAAAAAATACAACTGGTAAATGTCCACACAGTAAATAATACAATCACATTAAAACGCTTGTTGAGAAACTACAACATTAGAGTGCTAACGTTGGTAGCACTCTAATTCCTCTGAATAAAACAGTAAAATTTCAATAACAGGAACTTAAGGCGCGATAATCTACTTCTTAGGTTTTATCTTATACATTTAGTCGACTTTCTCTATTTTCTTAATTGATTTAGTTTCCATATTTTATTCATTTATATAGATTAATTTTTATTGCTTTTGATTTTATTTTGTTCTTCCAAATATTGGGGGGGCAATACGGTATTTTTGCCCCCTATTTATTTTTTATTTGGGAGGGGGAGCGATCGCCATTCTCGCCCTCCGAAGTCAGCGCCTATGGTTTAGGCTGATAAACTTTTTAAGTTTTTGATTGATAATAATCCCCTGCAGAATATTTCTTAATAATTAAAATTTTTAATAATTCACATTCATACATCTAACGATTTTTTTTTTTTTATTATCGTGACTAATCAGGTTGATTCGATTGATACACTCTTCAAAATGATTTTTAAAAATATTTTTAAATGGTGAATCAAATTCAAGAGTTTTAAGCTAATCAAGTTATGGAAATTCCGCAGTAAAACAGAGGAACTTCACGACTTGAGATGCGGGAGAAGTACATTACTTCAGAATCAGTATCACTTCATTGTTTCCAACTTTTAGATACAACGTTCTGTTATTAAGAACTAACTTTTAGTTTCATAAAGAAGCCATTTTCAAGTTTCTGACTTCTGAAGTTTTAACGCCTACAATAAAGCTATTCTCGTTCGAGAATGTTACTGTCATGAAGTAAAGTCCCTTCGTTTCGCGGTACATTATAAATGTAAATGTTATTTACATTATATTTCGCTATAATATTATTATATAATATATTAATATTATAATCATTATAAAGGAAGGAGATGGTCCGGGGGGGGCGGTCATAAATAGGCTAAACAGAGGCAAAACTATTTTATTAAAAGCCAACGTTTCGGCCCGACTTCGCAGGTCTTCTTAAGGGAAATGTATTCAGGTAGGAGTTCCACTTAGAACTCAACTAGAACTATTTATGACCGCCACCCCGGACCATCTCCTTGCTTTATAATGTAACGGCAAACTATTAAATATTCAATATCATTATTATATTTCTCATATAACATATGCGAAATATAATAAGTGAAAGTTATGGTGTTTGGAAGTAGAAAAGAATAGTCCGAAACAGCACAATAATTAAAAAATAAAAAAATCTAGCAGAGGGGATTCGGGCCGAAGGTTCCTCCCTCCATATAAGTACAATTTAATTAGCTACAGATAGTTTTTTATTATAAAATTGCAACTAAAATACTACCTTTTGAGATAAAAAAAAAAAAAGAAAACGACATTATTAAATATATTTTTAATAGGATTAAGGATATTTACTTTTAAGGATATTGGAATATATATAATTATGGTAGCATGTCATTTAAATATCAATCAATATGCTTATCAGGTCTCTATTAATATGCGTTTTTTTGGGCCCTCATGTTGCAGTTCGGAGCCTAGAGAAGAGAGGTGTAGTGAAGGAGAGAGGGTAAACGGCGAAGAGGAGACAGAAGACGAAAGAGAGAACCCGGCTGAGTACTGCCTAGGCGGCTACCACCCCGTCAGCTTAGGCGACCTCTACAGCAGTCGCTATTACGTCATCAAGAAGTTAGGATGGGGTCACTTCTCCACTGTCTGGTTCTCATGGGATCTCAGGTCAGCTTTGTATCTTAATACATATAATTTTTCTTCTATATGTATTTAAATCGAATCAGTTAGAGATGAACTGATGAATAAAGATTTTTAAAAGAACTAGATAGCTCACTGAAGGTGCTAGAGGATGCAGAAAACGGTTTTCTCCCACCATGGTCAGGCACGACCGTAGTCATTCCTACAATTCTTTTTTTTTGTTTTTGTTTTATCAGAAGGTAAAGACGTGATGTGTGTGCACGTTGGGGTATGGGTACCAGATTGACCGTTGTGCTGAACGGTGTGGGTTCGATTCCTACCTGAAGCAGTTAATATTTATTTGTTGGACGTCGCGGGAAATGAATTCCGACATTCCCACTCTGGTTAATGTGTGGAGGCAATCTTCAGTTCCGTATACATGGCCAAACCATTCTATGACTTGTTTTAAACGCCTTACATTCAGTTCTTCTCTTATCCACTCATTCCTCTAGCGGTCTCTTCGTGTTTTCCCAAGAATTCTCCTGAGGTATCTCATGTTTATGGCCGTTACTTTGCTTCCATCTTTGTCTAGGACCGTCCAACTCTCTGCACCATACAAAAGTACAGGCAAAAATACTATTGTAAACAAATCTATTTTGGTTTTCTTCTATATCTTCTGTTTTCGTAATACTATTGTACATATGGAATAAAACACACCATTGAACTTCTTGACACTATTTAATACCTCCTGGTCGATACTTCCATCCCTGCTAAAAATCTTGACTAAGTACTGGTAGTTATCTACCTTTTCTAACGGTTCATTATTACATGTTATGAGAACTTGGTCTTCCACATCTCGCATCATCACCTTGCTTTTAGTAGGCTTTATTTCCAACCCCTTCCTCTGGAGCTCTTCCAACAATTCATTGAAAGCCATCTAATGCCTTTCTTGTGTGTCAGCAATCAGGACCACGTCACCTGCTTATAGAAAATCTTGTGCCCTCACAGGAATTAATTCCAGTACCCTATTGTTGCTCTAGGTGTCCTTCGCTTAAAGACCTTCCATGTTTCATCCATGGGCTTAAGTAATGGGCTTAAGCTATCGACCTGCTTGACGCCTTTATGAAACCTGAATGGTTCCGATTTAGATCCGTTAAGCCGCACTATTTCTTTGTGATCCTAGTATGCCGATTTGATTGCGCTGATGAATTGAATGGCACCCGTTTTCTCTGTAGAGCATTCCAAATCTCTTGGGGAGAAATCGAATCAAATGCAGCCTAAAAGTCCAGGAATGCCAAAAATAGTCTTCTACTTCTATCCCATGCTTTCTCAACAACCATTCTTAATGAGAAAATATGATCCAGGGTTTCCCTTCCTGGTCTCAAGCCAACCTGATCGTCTTCCAGATCACGCTCCACCATTGTTCTAAACCTATGTTCCAATATTCTTTCCTTCCTATTCTCATAACCTTTGTTTTTGCTGCATTGATAATCATATTGATAGTTTCTAATTCCTTCTGTAGAAAGTTTATGTTGAAGTGGAGGTTCCTGCAGTTGTTTACGAATAAATAAGGGAAAGACATATTGGTCTATAATTCTCACATTTTTTCTAGTTTCCTTTATTGAAAATTGGAATTATAATATTATTTTCCCAATCCTGGAGTATTTTCTTTTGCGATCAGATATTTTGAAAGAGGTTCTGGAGGCATTTGGCCATTTCTCCTCCTCCATATTTTATGAATTCTGGCATATCATCCCTGCCTGCTGCTTTGTCCAATTTCATTTGCTCCATAGCCAATACAATTTCATATTCCTCTATATCATCATCCTCACTATTATTATTACTCTCCACCTGGTTTTCACGGATTCTAGGTCTTCTACGATCATATCGAGGGTATTGTCTGTATTCCTGGAGGAAAAATTTACTCTGGTGATGTTTTTGCCGTACTTTAAGAACTTCATTTTCATTTAATACCAAATTATCGTTATTGTATTAGACGCTTCGTACCCGTTTCTCTTTTACTATATTACTTTACTCGTACTTGTAGGTGAAACCTGGTACGTTAATTTTTCGGTAAAGGTGTTGAGGTCTGATTCAAGAATTATTTCTCGAGTTCTTATTTTATTTTATAACCTATAACCTAGTGCTATAGGGAAACTACGGACAAGATACTACTAAAATATAATTTAAAAGAAAAAGAACTTACCAGAAAATGCATGACTATAAGCTTGTAGAGCACGAGCTATTAGCATTATAAAAAAAACAATCAAGTTGTAATGGGTACTCAAATTAAATTAATAACTAGTTTATTTTATACAATATATTTTATATTAAACAAATATAAAATTTTATTTTATTGGGCGCCTAATCCAGTTTCAAATCAATGGGATCAAATGGATGAAGGTGTTAAGTAATATTTTATAAGTTCTGTGAAAGCTGAATTTCTATCTCCTTTATCCACTATAAAGAATGTATGCATTCCTACTCGATATCTTTACCAACTCGGTTCTGAGACAAATATTGAATTGATCTGAATAGAAGAAAACATATTAAATAATATATCCCATTTCTTCTTTATCCTTAGTAATATTTCAATGTTTTCCAAAAACGTCCTTGTCACCTTTATCTGATCGATCCTTCATGTCGACGTTTCAAACCAACTTTGTGTGTCGTCATCTGTGTTTACATACAGATAAGGGAAGGGGAGAAGTAGAGATGTCAGCATACATAAAAAAAAGATAATGAATGATTTTCCAACTATCAATCATCCAAGATAAGTTGAATCTTTCACTACATTAATATAATTAAGTGATTAAGCATATATAATTAAGTGACTTCACAATCAGAAAAAAATATAAGTTTATAAGTTATGTTATACATACATGGTAGATATGATCCATAAAACATTTCATATTGATTTCTTCTTTTATTATGTTCAACTATTCCTTTGTACCTTTCGGCATCAAGTTTCAATCGAGTCCCTCTATCTCTTCCTCTCTGTCTCTTGTAAGAGTCTTTTCTTACAAACTATTCTCTCTAGTTCGGCCAAAATTGGATATGTAGGTTTCATACCTCAGCATGGTTCTACCTTTAGCTGGGCCCCAATTTACAAACGGGCCAACTGGGCATTTGCCCAGAGCGCCAGTTTTTGAGGTGCAGGAGTATTTGAGATTCTAAAAAAAGTTGAAGGACAAATATATTGTGGGAAAGGACAAATATATTGTGGGAAATAACAAATAAGTTTTTATTTTACAATTAAAATAAGCAATAGTTCAAAAAGAAAATAACTATAAAGCCATGAGTCTCTACCGTACAGGTGAACAGATAATCTGCCAACGTTTCGTCAATTCAGGCATCATCAGGGCAGGAAAAACTAAATCACATAAATGAAGAAAGAAAAAAATATATTATTTTTATATCTCACTAAGGCATTTAAATAAATACTGAAGGTCCCGAAAACGCAACAGAGGAAGGTTATAAAAAAAAGAAAAATAAATAAATAAATACAAAAGAAAAAACTCGAAAGTGTACATACATCGAAAACCAACAAAACTCGGTGGATACAGCGCTACTTCACAAATACTAAAATAAGTATATAGCTCAAAAAGAGGCAAACTCTCTTTCTATGGAACTTTCTGTTTCCTTCAGTATATATTTGGATGACTTAAAGAGATGTAAATTACAAATTGTTTTTCCTATTTTACTTTCCTGCCTATACTAGGTAAGGAAAGTATTGCGATCGGGTCAAATTTCCGATATGCGGTTTTCGACGGATCTATACTTTTCAGAGCCCCCTGAGTCCGAAAAACAAATTTTTAGCCATTGGTCTGTCTGCCTGTGCCAAAATTTTCTCGTTAACTACTGAACCGATCTTGTTGGTTCTTTTTTTTTTTTTGTACGGTTTGGCTACTGATGGCTGTGACAGAAATGGGTGCTCCATGCGCAATATCGGCTGCGCAATATATGAAAAACATGTTTTTCTATTGACAGTAGCGCGGAAACGGCCCTAACGAACGATTTTGATGAAACTTTTCTATAATGTTCTAATAGTTTCTTTTCCATTTTCCTATATGGACTAAATTCCCGAGAAAATTCAGGAAAAAAAGTTATAAAGAATAGAAAAATGTTTTGTGGCCTAACTCGCTAAGTATATATTATATGGTAAAAGTTATAATAAAACTTTTGAAAGGTAATTAAATTACCAACAAAACAAAAAAAAATCGTTCATTTTGGACGACTGTTAACGAAGTTACAGCTATTCAATTTCCAATGTAAGATTACGGGTTCATATCCTGTTATCAGAAAAGGGTGAATGAGAGAAAAAAGATGACTAAGTGAAAGTAAGAAAATCTATTGCCCGCATCACACAAGCTTCACTATTTCCTCTAATTTTAACAAAAATGATCGTTTTACAAAATTAGGCTATGGCAAAAAGTTTTAGATCAGCAATATTAGAGGGTATTGAAATTTTTACAGTGATCTACCTTAAGCAGGTTTACATTGCGTTAGTCTATCAAACAAATCGTACTCAAATCTTTTCTTTGATCAATTTTCAGGAAAATAAATCTAATTCAATTTTTGTTGTTTCTTCATGAACATATGTAAAGATATAAAACCTTTTCTGAAATAAGTAGGAAAGTCGTGTGAGTAGACTCACCAGAATATTTTTCAGCATATATGTGATCTTGTATTTTCTTTCCCGATGATGCCTGAATTGGTGAAACATTGGAAGATTAACTCCTCTATGTAAGAGACTCGTGGATTTATAGTTTGGATTTTTTCATTTATTACTTTTTCTTTTATTTAACCACGCGGATTTTCAAAAATACAAGTCGAATCCTACCATTTGACGAAAAAAAAACCTGTGATGTCCTCGTGATCCACCTACCGGAAGTATGGACAGTATCAAGGGGAAAAAATAGTTTATACTAATTCAGTGCGCATAAAAACATTGAGGCTTACAGTCGTTTCAAACTAAAAGAACCATTTACTAAATGAGAAAAAGCCATAGTCATTAAAAGCCTTGGTTTTTGTAGCGTGTATGGGTT